TCTCTAAAATACACCGCTTAATTACTTCTAATGAGCTCTTTGATATTTAATTGACAATGATGGCGAGTCACTCGACAATTCGAACGTGATAAATTGTAAACCGCGATTTGTGGCATTTATTGAAGGTGCTTAATATAGTAATAATAACAGGAGATAATGTAAACAAAGGTGAACTTAACTCTTAAAAGAGATCTTTTCCAACCAGCCTAATGCCCACTACATAAGAAGTAGTAAGAATATAACAATTAAAATATAACAATTTTTTTTTAATTTAATAATTGTGAAATAAAATCAAATAATATAATATTGAATAAGGTTTTTTAACGTAACCTATCGTTGCTCCTTTTTTGCAAAAAATTACGTTTAAAATTGAAACAAACATTAAAAGCGGGAATAAGAAATAATTACTTGACCATCAAAAGTTTTGACTTTAGTAATCTATCAAAAGGTCAAGTAAAAAGAAGTCATATAATTTGATATTTGGCAGAGAGATTACATTTACATTTGACATTTACCAGAGGGAAACTTTATACAAAAGTTGATGACTTTTTGGCTTGGATATATTAATCCATTCGTATTTCTACCATAAAGCAGTTATTTTTGCATGGCTGTATTTCGATTTGAAGAGTAAGATATGGCAACAAAATTACAGGGTATAGAGACATGATACCTTTATCCTCAGGAATGGCAACGAATGAAGGGTATCATGAATGACACAGTATACTATTTTTTTTTGATGGGTGAAAATGGTATGGCAACCCCGCCTGCGCTAACGGGATACGCTGGCGGAGCACCGGTGAGAATAAAAACAGGCCAGTCATGATGAATTCATCGGGAATTAACTATGATAGTTTCCAGGGGGAACTGCGAGGAGGTCGACCTGGTTGGGTATATTGCTAGCAATGGGATTCTCAGTTTCCATTACTAACAATCCCTTTCCCTCACAGATTACTATGTTATGCCCAGTTAAAAAAGTTTTAGTAAAGCATTTGTATAAAGACACTGTATGTATGGGCGAGAGATGGGCAGGAATGTCTCTTTTAAAACATCTCTAAAGCCTGACTGCGGTTGCCAAACGTGGCAACTACTGGCAAAACCCCCCAAGGGGTGGCGTATGTTCAGCAGTAGACAGTTAAAGGCTGATATGGTGATGATGATGACTGTATCTATATAATCACCAGGAAGGAAATACAAAGAAGGAAAGTATTTATTATAAATGTAATAAAATATAATATAATATAATACATCCCTAGTGTTGCAAATGTCCATAAGTTTTTTTTTTATACAACTTAGAATGGCAAACAAGCTGACGGCCCACCTGATGGAAAGTGGTAACCGTCGCATATAGACATGAGCAGTACCATGGACATAACAGAGTATACTGTTTCGCCCATGACACCCCCCATGCGTTGCCATTCCTTAAAACTCAGTTGTTATTCCTCTGTACCTTGTAAATTCACGCCATACCCCACCCTTCAAACCGAAACACAGCCATGCCACAACTGCTTTATGGTTGAAACACAAATGGGACAGAGGTACCCAAGCAATCGACTTTTGTACAAGGTCTCCCTCTGGTAGCTACAGTGACCGTTTACTAATAGACTGGCTGTATGTTAGTTTGACACCTTCGTGGTATTAAAAAAAATTTAAAAATATTAAAAAAAAAATAAGGAATAGAATTAACAATGCAGATTTGTAAAAGTTTAATAGTTTAATATTTATTCTGTAACATATAATACTAGCTTTTACCCACGATTTCGTTCGCATAATCGGGATATAATCACTATCTGGAATAGTAACCTATTGCCTTCTCCGTCCCATATAGGTAGTATCTATTCGTATATACCAAATTTCATAGTAATTAAGACTAATAATAATTGTTAAGGCGCCAGATAGTAACAAACAAATAGGCAAACACACTTTCACATTTATAATATTAGTAAGGATTATATTAAAGTTGGAAGAATAAGCAAGCTGAAGTGGCAATGAGCTGGTCACATAGCTTGAAGAACCGACGACTGATGGGGAAGAAAGGTTCTTGAGTAACGACCATGTACGGATAAATACAGTGTAAGACGACCCCACACTGGATGGAGTGACGACCTGAAATGCATTACAGGGAGTCAGTGGATGCAGGTGGCTCAGGACCCTTCTTTATGGCAAAAAACAAAGCAATAAAGCAAAAAATATGGGGGAGGCTTATGTCCAGCAGTGGACGGATAATGGCTGAAATAATGATATTAACTTTAATATTAATAGAAATAAATAAATACACGAGCAAATTCACGAATAACGAGTAGTTACGGTAACAATAAAAATGCCCTTTTTAAGTCCGTTAAAAAGCGAAGGCACTTCTGTCGATCTTCAAACGATTAAGTCGACTCCGACCGCATTTCCCCCTGACAGATGTGGCTTATGGGATTGCGTCTTTGCATTCTGTGTAGACATACCTTAATCGGTAATCAATACTCTGACAGAGACAGACACGTATTGGGCAAAAAAGTAAATTGCCAAGACGTTTAGATCACTTGCCTCAAGATGGAGACTCTCAATACAAACGCTTTGCTAAAAACAGGCCAACTTTTTTATCCATGTGTGCGTACATAGAGATACTAGAAAGTACAGTCAACACGTACTCAACACGTGAGATAAATGTATATTGTAAGTTCGAGTTGAAAAAATAATTACAAAATTCTTACGTCTTTTTTTATACCACAAAGTTGGCAAACAAACATAACTCCTTGCTTTCCAAAAATCAATCTGGGAGAATTTCAATTGAATTACTTGCAACACTGAAAAGTGGTCCGCTTTATTTATTAAAAAAAAAGAAAACAATATACGTCAACCAAACGTCACTTTCGCCTTTTTTGACAGTTGACACTCCATCTTGCAGTACATAATCTAAGCCAAGACTGGATAATATTTTGACAAATAATCGTAAGGAAAAACCAACCATCAATAAATGTTGCTTTTAATTAGCTTTCTTACTTATTCCCGGATAAAAAAAAGTGATGGATGATAGAAATTGGGTTATATTATCTTCAAGAGTTCGTAAACGGGATCCTTTATCCTAATAGTATGTGTTCTCATAAATTCCATTTTTAAATTGATTACGTCATTTCGCCTACAACTTTTCGTATTTGCAGTCACTCATAAACCGCCATTTTAAGCCTTACATATACAATAATAAAACACTTCCATATATCTTTAAGGTTTCATATATCGTATTACTTATAAAATCAATCCGACCTTTTACATTTAGATGAACATATATCGTTGATGACCTTTAAGAGTAATCCACATATCACATTTCATATATAACATATCTATTGGATAACGAAGCCTTTGCATTTCAAGATTAAAAGATGAAATATCCAATACATAACAAGATAAAGATATTGTATTATGTATTGTAATGATCTTTATAGAATTTTTCTTATAACAAATGATCAAAGAACCCGCGATTTGGGGGTCAAAATCGAAGATAACCATGCCAGTTATAGGCGTTAAGCTATACCGTCTGCATATACTCGTATGAACAACTTCAATAAATATTAATAAAAAAGTACATTTTCACCGAAGTCAAACACGAGAAAAAATCAATCGATTGAAAAACAACAAGATTTATTGACAACCGGGGATGTTAACAGCGTTGGCAATGCGCACGTAATGCCCCTGATATTGCAGGCGTTCATAAGCTACGGTATGCGCTTACCATCGGATGATTCTTACGTATGTTTACCGAGAAAAAACCTCAGTGATGTGCGCACGTAATGCCCCTGATATTGCAGGCGTTCATAAGCTACGGTATGCGCTTACCATCGGAAAAAAAGTTAACACATAAGAGAATAGTAGACAAAATTGAAAATAAACGTCTGTTTATTGGTTTGCCCCCTCTCGGCGCGTTATGCAATTTGAAATGAAGACGGATACAAGCTACTTTATATTTCGGCCAATCAATATATCGCGGGTCACGTGGACGAAGGCACGCGTAAAAACTTATGTAATATAAACAACGACAAGAAAAATAAGAAGGCGGCACGTAAATAGTTTTATTTTGCTAAGTTCCCTAAATAAACCCTTACGACTGAGTTGAGTACCAAACAAATACTTCGGCGATATCCGTTGACGAATAATCTCTCGCACGTTAAGTACGAAACAAAATGGACGCCAAATTCCAACTGTATTTACCGCGTTTTATTTACAGTCTTACTTAAGACATTAAGTAGACTTATTTATTTATTAAACACTTTAATTCACTAATATTACAGTACTTGTTGAAGAATTTTCAATAAGTATAATGTAGTACAAAAGGCGGTCTTGTTACTAAGCAATATCTTCCAGACGACCTTTGGGTGGTAGGAATCAAAGAATGAATAGGTAGGTGGCGCGTTAAAAAAATTTATCTAAACATGTGAAAATAAGCACAACTAAAAATGGATATAGTTTGAGAAAAACTCGCATATTAATTTTTTTACTACCCGCAATAACTCTTTGGAATCAACTTCCAGCAGCAGTATTTCCGAATCGATACGACATCATAACCTTCAAGAAAAGAGCATATTTTTTTTAAATGATTATAAATAAAATAAAAAAATAAAATTACTTTATTATACAATAAACTAACTTTTAAAACATAACTTTTTTGTGCCATACAAATATACTCGTGCTAGACGTCACGTGTGATTTCTCGTGCCTCAAGCTAAAATAAATTTGCTCCGTCACGCACCTTTCATTAGAACACTTGTTTTATTTAATAATATTTCGAATATTTCCGTACCTCTGATCTCTTTATATGTTCTCTGACAGAATTCGCAAGGGCTGGAATGTTTACTATTTGTTATATTGTAAAATCTAATCAATGTTCTTTGTTGTACCATGTTGAAATGTATCCTGTAAGAGCATGGAAATAAGGAAATAATATTTTTATTTCCAAAATATACAAACAAACAAACTCATTTCCAAAATCAAGCTTTTAACATTTCTTTTTTTATTTCCAGTTCAATTTCGTGGGCAAGTTACTAGGGCCCAAAGGAAACTCCCTAAAACGACTTCAGGAAGACACGATGTGCAAAATGGCTGTACTCGGCCGCGGATCTATGAAAGATCGTCAAAAGGTATGTAGAAATCTCAGATTATTATCTGAGATTATATATTATATTATTATATATTATTAATATGAAGTTGTAAGGCAAGGTTGTCCGTACCTGTAAAATATTTCACCAGATTTTGGGGACTTTGTATAAAAGATGTTTGCTTGGATATCTCTGTCCCATTCGTGTTTCTACCGTGAAGCAGTTATGTTTGCATGACTGTGTTTCGGTTTAAAAGGTGGGATATGGCAGTAAATTTACAAGATATTGAGGAATAACACCTGAGTCCTCAGGAATGACAACGCATGGGGGGTATCATGGGCGAAACAGTATACTCTTTTATGTCCATGGTACTGCTCATGTCTATAGGAGACAGTTACCACTTTGTTGCATATAAAAAAATCTATGAAAAGTCTAATAAAAGCGATAAAAGCCTTAACAAATATTTTTTAGAGTTTTTATTAATCTCGCTCGTTTCGATATCACACAAAAACTATTGTACCAAATTTAATATGATTTTTACACTTATGTTCCGGAAGGTCTAAATTTAAATATCGTATATGTTTTATCTTATCCTTAGAGAAGTAATAACTTATGAATTTCCAAAATCTACGCATAAGAGATTGCGAAAGGTCCAAGCCAAAAATAGCAAACTATGATACGGGCCATAATCAGAGTTTCTAAATGGAGATACCTATCTAACCAGAAGTGCAAAAATGACAGAAATATCCAGAAGTTCCTTTGTCTCGATATCTTCTTTTTTTTTAATAAATATAAATCTACCGGCAAATTTAGCAGTAATTAAATTATAGTGTATAAAAAATTCAGACCCGATAACTAACGCTGTTGTCAAAATTTTGCATCCGTGCTAAGTCGGGGTGGGCCGCCAATATTAAAATAAAAACATATCATCTGTTTGACCCTCAGGAGGAAGAGTTACGTGTATCAGGGGACCCGAAGTTCGCACACTTATCAGACGAGCTCCACGTAGAAATCAGCGCATTCGCCACTCCGGCGGAAGCCCATGCGCGGATCGCGTATGCCCTCGCTGAGCTAAGGAGATTTTTAGTACCGGTAAGTTATTTTTTATGATATTTAGACAAAACGGTGACCATAGACTTGTGTGGTCGAGAGTGGCCTTCGTCTATATCTCTTTGGATTGTAGTAAATCTGTATGTTACTGGTAATTCAGATTAAATATAAGAAAAGAATGAGCCACTACTTTTTTCCCTGGGTATAGTAAAAGGCAACTAAGAGAACTTAGTGGGACGGGCAGCAATGTCCTTCTTGAAGCATCGCCAAGACCTAACTGCGGTTGCCAATCCAGTTACCAAACGTGGAAACTACTGGCAAAGCCCCCCAATAGGGGGAGGCCTATATTCAGCAGTGGTCAGTTAACAGCTGATATGGTAAACCATAAAATTAAAAGGCTAAAAGATAGATTTATGGGGAATAGCGCCTCAGAATCGGCTCTCTTGTCCATGCTAAAGATTTCGATTACATCCTGCATACCTACGTAATATAACCTCATATACCTAATTTCGTCAGTGGGTCTACCATGAAATGAAATTCCGAAATTTCGGACTCAATTTCGTGTTTTTGTTCATACCAAAATCAGACCAATAAATGGAGTTTAACATTTCGTTCGTCATACATCCTATCATAAAAGTCCAAAGGAACAATATTTTAACATTTTTAATATTTCCAAGCGGCAAGTATTATATAATTTTAACATCAAATTTCTGTTTCGGTTGACTCCGAAATTTCGGAAAACATTTCATGGTAGGCCCTCAGCATATCAGCCGTCTACTGCTCACTGCTGAATATAGACCTTCCCCAAAAGGGGGGTTTTGTCAAGAGCTGCCACGCTTGGCAGGCGGATTGGTAACCGCAGTTAGAACAACATTTGATGTTCTAAAAGAAATCTGCTGCCTATCCCTCGACTATTACGTTCCCTTAATCGCCTCTTACGATATCTGCGAGAAACGGAGTGGTCTATTCTATGCCGGGATCACACGATGACTTTTATATAATTAGTTTATATAATTTAATATCCAAGAGTCAATGTGCGTCAGACATATTATTTATTACGCTAAAACACTGTCTAAGCATCATATAATTACTCTAACAATCTGATAACAACGAAACTAAATAATGTTATTTCAAGTCACCTAAAATTGTTCTCTATTATTATCTAACTTAGGTTTAGATTCGCTTGATCAAAACGAAATATTTTCACTACTAAATCTTGTGCCAAAAGAGTTACGCCTGTAGCTGCCAATCCCCTATTAGTTAAGCGTGAAGATAAATAGATAAAGTGCTTGTACAGGTGTATTTTAAACTAGCTATTCGCCCTTGCTTCACACGGGTAGATAGAAAGATGAAGTAATATTTTGTTTATACCTTAAGGCTAATATATAATACGTATAATTAAAAACCATGTAATAATAATAATATTTTACATAAGCAAAGATTTGATCTTTTGGGTTTTTTTTTTAATTTCAAGGGCTTTTACCTACTTCAGATATATCAGCCCTATCGTACCCTGAACTGATTTCTCAGATAAGGTTTTATCTACTTTCCCTACTCACGGAAACAGAGGAATTAATGGGTATCAATAATTTACAGAGATGTTCAAAAATATCTGATTTGGGTGCAGCCAATATAGATTGAATAAGACCAATATTTAATTTATTTATCTGAAAATGGCGCGTGAGTTATTCTCTTTCTATCGTATTTATACAACGCTCTAATTATTATAATCTTCGAAGGATTCTAAAATTTTTTTGGTTGAGAAGTTTTTCAGTTTATCCATTACAAACAAACAAATCTTTCCTTTTTATAATATTAGTGAAAAATAAATATACTCCATTGCAAGATGGTGGCGACAGTATATGCTAACTCATGCTGTACTCAAAAAGTAAAAAAAAAATATTAGGAGTGACAAAAAAGTAGCTGGTTCACGTGTTAACCATCCCAGAATATACTGTGATGCCCATAGTGTTGAAATCACTCACGTGTTGTCATTCTTCATATACTCGATATTGATTGTTAGTTAAAAGTTTTTATTGTCAGTTAATCAAATTTTTCTTGGAGGAAAAGGAATTGTTAGTTATGGGTTTTAACAGCCCCATTGCTATCAGGTCGACCACCACGCGGTTCCCCCTGGAAACAATCGTGGTTAGTTCTTATCAAATGTTGTCATGTCTTCACGATAGGCCAACTGACCTGCCATCATCTTCACCTAACATCTGTCACTGGTGCCCCGCCAGCGTATACCGATAGCGCAGGCGAGGTTACCATTCCATTTTCATCCATTAAAAAAATCTGTTCTACCAACTACAATACTTCTATTACACAGTGTGTTAATTAACAAAATCCATTCTTTTAACTGGTGTTAGTATTCATTAAAAGGATCTCAGAATTTTTGTTTTTCCTAGAAAAAATCTAAAACCTGTTACCAAACACTGAAAAAATAAAAATAAAAAATTTTAATATAATTTTCAATACTTTTCACTGCGTAATTACATTTCTGTTTTGCCAAAGATGTTGACAGGAAGAGAACGCTATATTGCATTAAGTTGGCCTTTTATACCAAAATGTTTTTAGTAAAGTGATCAATAACAACAAATAAATAAATGTAAGGATTTTTATAGGAAAAAAAATTACTGAGACACTATTAATGAATTATTAGTCGTGTTGTCCCGGCATAAAATGGAAACCACCGTGCTGAATTCCAGGTGTATTCATCACGATGGACTAACTGCTTTGCTTTTCATTCTCATCTATCATACCTCACTGGTGCCCCATCAGCGTATACCGTTAACGCAGGCGGGGTTACAATTCCATTATCCTCCTTAAAAAAAACTCACTTTCACATTTATATGTAAATGCTTACAGCAAAAATAATTAAATAAATAAGCTTAAAAATGTGTAACCCAGCTAACTTGTAATCTTACCAATCTCGTGTAAACCCGTACATCGACAGCGATATAACGTAAAATTCTATTAAATTACGATGAAAATCTATGAAACTATCATAAAACTGCCACCTGACAACCTCGTAAAACCTTCGTGTTGCTTTATGCAATCGATCTCTTAGACTATAAACCGTGATACTGCCAAGCCAATTTGAACTTTACCGTCCAATAGTTTTATTCTGAATTTCCCTACTCGATCTCTAAGCCTTACAAAGCAGCAAAGGACACGTAGTCAAGGAATTTAGATCGTTCTATTAGATTATTGCTCCTAAAAGAAGATACATCAGAAAAATCACACTGCGTACTCTCATTTCATCTTGTTCCCATATATGGTACAGAATGTTTTTTATTCACATGAATACTCTTTACGTTTAGAAGTTACTAGCTTCTATCCACGACTTCGTCCACGTGACCGGGATATGTTCATATTATTTAATAAAAAGTGTGTAAGTAGGTAAATTTACTATTATTATCTTTATTTCCGTTATTACCAGTAAAATGTACTTAAAGGCGACGGTAGTCACTTACTATCAGATAAGCCGCGTCTTTTATAAGTTTTAAAATACGCATGTTATATATATATATATATATATATATATATATATATATATATATATATATATCTTTATTTTTCACAATAGATATAATTTATTTCAGCAATAGAACAAATAGCGAATATAACATAAAAGCTACTAAATACTAGCATAGAAGCACGCAGGCAACTCCTCTGTTGCTTTCGATGACTTTATCATCGTAGATGAATGCGTCGGAACAACAAGAATCTTTTAAAGTATCATGTACATCATGGGCAAAACAGTATACTCTGTTATGTCCATGGTACTGCTAATGTCTATAGGCGACGGTTACCACTTTCCATCAGGTAGGCCGTCAGCTTGTTTGCCATTCTAAGTTACATAAAAAAAGTTTTTATATCCACGTTAAAAGAATCACTTTTATTATTATTGCTTGAATACATTTCACGCGCGCGTACACACACAACACACACACACGCACACACACGCACACACACGCACGCACACACATACACGCACACACACCCGCGCACGCACACACGCACGTACACACGTACGCACGCACTCGCACCCACGCACGCTCACACACACACACACACATAGCTCCCATATCTTAATTAGAATAAATCGTCTCTTCCAAGAAATTATATTTATTACATTGAATACACTTCTTATTACTTACTGTGTACTTGTAATAACAAGTGCTTAGTAAGTAACTCTACGGAGTGAGGCCCTGGTGACTGTAATACAGGTATTCTTATACCTATCTCAGGCACCAGTCTCTCACAATTATATTTATAATTTGATTATTTTATTATATAAATTTAATATATTATATATTATTTCATTGTGATGAATTGTAAAGAGAAATTAAATCTATTATTATTATTAAACGAGTTAGTAAATCATGAAAAAGTGTTTGTTGAATATTTCTTAAGTATTCACACTTTATTCATATTTTAAACAATAAGTACAATACGTTTATGCTTAAGTACTACTGTTAAACTTAACATGATTTTAAAAAGGCCAATAAATATAATACTTAGCTGGAAAAGGTCGAACATAAAATAGAAAAAATATTGTCTAAAGCTGACATTTAACAATATTTCTTTAACTAAGGTAAAAGTTGAGGTTACTAATAGTTTTAGGATTATTCCTTACATAAGCTTAAAACCAGCAATTTTTTTATGCAACTTAGCCGTCGCCTATAGACATGAACTGTACCATGGACATAACAGAGTATACTGTTTCGGCCATGATACCTCCCATGTGTTACCATTCCTGAGGACTCAGATGTTATTCCTCTGTACCCAGTAAATTCACTGCCATATCCCACCCTTCAAACCGAAACACAGCCATGCAAACACAACTGCTTCACGGTAGAAACACGAATGGAACAGAGGTACCCAAGCAAACAACTTATGTACAAAGTCTCCCTCTGGTTTAATTTTGATTTATAGTATATATATTAATTTAGGAAAACGGGGTATAAAAAAAATATAAAATTTAAACGTGAGAAAAAATATATGTATTATGAAAAAAAACATGAAAAATTTTACACTTATATTTTTTTACGTACCTAAACATTAATTTGAATGGAAAAGTTTTCATGGGCTCTCATTAAATGTCGTATCGTTAAAAAGATCGTCTTGTATAAAATCGGAAAAAGTTCTATCAGTTTTCTTATTACATTTTCGCGAGTTACAAGCGTCCGAAGTATCGAAAAAAATGGAAAACTTCCTTACCACGTGGAAGAACTACAAAAGGAATTTCATCAAATTGCCCGTGCTCTATACAAAACGTAGTTTGATCATATTCTGGACACTGCAAGCTGGTATTATCAGTACTCAATAAAAAATATTTCTATTTCTATAATTAAATAAAATTGTACAAAAAAAACAAAACAATTAAAGCGTGACAAAACAACATGGAAATATATTCTTTTAAATACATAAAAACATCAGAAACTTAATAAAAATAAATTGAATGAATCATCGAAATTGTTACAGAATTTATTTATTTATTTTTTAAAAGGAACACCAACAGCATATTGCATTCTAACACATATAACAAACATTAAATACAATACAATATTAATGCACACGCCTATTAAATGTATTCACTTGTTGTAAATAAATTTTTACACATACAAAAAAAATATCGAAATAGACTGTAGCCTACTTGGAAGTCATTGAAAAAATACTACTACGGAACCCTTAAAGACGTATTCAGTGCACTCTTGACCAGTTTTTTAAATTACACCGGAAATGTCATATAAACATGCAAACACCGGTTTTTAGTTGTTGCAATGTTCATGCGAAATGGATATTCAGCAAACGAGTTTTATTTTATGGGCTTTTTAATTAAAATATGTATATATAAACATTTACGTAATTTATATGGTGCTTATAGAAAAATTACCTATAATATGGTGCTTGAAGAAAAATTACCTAGTCTCCACTGCAGAGCTTAATCATTCAATCAAATATTTAATAAAATAAAAAAAAATCTCTTTGAAAAGCTATTATTCCAAATAAATAACTGTGCTCTATATTAAACGATAGGGTTATTTATCTAAGACAATTTCCAAGTAAACGTACGAAAAATATATTAAAATAACATATTCCTCTTTCATAGCACATAAACTTGACGTCATAACTTCGCGGTTTTTATTAAGAAACATTTTAAAATTACAATGTCTTCCCAAGTTTAATAAGGACAACAGCATCTCGGTTTATCTAAAGTTAATGACGCAGTAAGTACTACGGAGTTTGATGAAGAAAACTTTGTAAAATTTCATCTTTTTTGAAGCCACGGAAAACTTTCACAAAACCCCCGGCCATTGGATTAGGTACACTGTCAAATACAATACGAATTAATGCAATTTATTGCACAAACGTGCACATTTTTAATTAATAAAGCACCACCATTATTATATTAGCCATTATCTGTCTACTGCTAAACGTAGGTCTTCCCCATAGACTGCCACGAGGAATGGTCCTGAACCATCTACATCTACTAGCTTCCTACAACGTCATTGAGGTCGTCACTCCATCTAGTGAGGGATTGCCCTAAACTGCGCACTGAGACTGCGCAGAGATGTTGCATCTCTGTGCATCTTCTACCGAATCTATCAGTGTTCTGAGATATTGTTCGGATTGATACCTGCTGCTAATTTTCACCACCGTACAACCCGCCACAATCTAAACTTTCATCCCAATCATCTAGACGAGTGGCGGTCTTCCACCGTGCGTTTTTCAAGGCACTTTCTTTCACGCACAACCATTCTTTGGAATCAACTTCCAGCAGCAGTATTTCTGAATCGATACGACAACATAACATTCAAGAAAAGAGTATATTCCCTTTTAAAAGGCCGGCAGCACACCTGCAATGCTGCTGGTGTTGTGGGTGATCATGGGCGGCGGTAGTCACTTACCATCAGGTGAGCCGCATGCTCGTTTGCCCCCTGTGTTGTAAAAAAAACTGCGTTTACCCGTACGGGAATTCACCACAATAAGAAGTCACCACTATGGTTTCTATGGAGAAACGCGTGAAGATAAGGGTACATTGATGGATAAACGCGTGAAAATTAACCTGATAAGGGTATATAGATAGCAATTGGGCTATTAAGCCCCATTACTAACACCCTTTCCCACATAAATACTACGTCATTAATGAGAACTAAGGTTTAATACTTCTGTATCCTGCAATTTCTTTTTTATGTATAATAATGAAATAGTAACCCCGCCTGCGGTAACGATATACGCTGAAAGAACACCAATGAGAAATGATAGGCAAAATTGAAAAGGCAAGTAAGTTAGCTCATTGTAATGAATACACCTGGAACTCAGCACGATGGTTTCCAGAACTGTCATTTTATTGGCATATCCCATACTTCAACCCAAAAAATAACCATACAAGCCTATTTATTTGTCGAAAACAAAAATAAAACAGAGGTGTCAATGCAGAAGACTCTTATTCTTCTTAGTGTTACCCAGAAAGTTGACAGGCAGCTCCATAAATTTACCTTTTTGATTTGCCAGACCCTATACAAAGTCTCCGATAAAATAATACCCAACAACGTAATACTTTTTATTCCTAACTTTGTAACACAATTTCTCGTAAATACGCGGAAATTGTCTATACAAATACGCTCGAGAGCAACTCGTACGTAACGGAGTAAGCCATTCGGCACTTTGTAAGCGATACTTAAGGAAAAGTATGGGAATAAATATTCGCTCCAATTCGATTATAACTGCTCACACGGCATCAACCCCTCGGCGGGACAAATATTTGTGTACCTCTTGAAATATTTGTTAGCTCTGAACACACTTGAGAGGTGAATGACCAATAGGGAATTAGGCCACGTTTGCGTCGACGTTCGACAACTGAATTTAAAGGCAATGAAAGAAAATTTACTAGAGACTGGAGAATAAAAAATGTACTTCGTCTACATTCGGTTTGAAGAGTGGGATACATATGTCAGTGAAATTACAGGGTACGGAAACATTACGCTTTAGTTCTCAGGTATGACAACATTTGCACATACTACGAGCGTGTGATCCCGGCTTAGGATGGGCCCCGTAAAATAACTTACTTTCAATCTAATTCACAATAAAAATAGGTTCTCAATTCGGTTGTATTTTATAATTCCGTCTTTGGTAAACTGATTTGGAAAATTCTGTTTTCATTTGAAAGTATATGCTTTCAGATTGATTTCATAGTCGTTTTATATAAATAGTTTCATTAGTTTACTTTTTAAACCCAAATAACTAGTTTTGTAACAATTGAAGTTAGTCTTTTTTTGGTAGAACAAAATCCTAAATTATTAATATATGGCTAGATACATTATTATCTGCCTATATCTAACCCACAGTTACCTTTAACATTTCTCCCTGCCTACTATTATCAATATTAATTACTTTACCTACCTGAGTCAGCATTTTTAGCATTCTAGTAAAGGTTTGGGTACAAATTACCATGGCTAGAAAAAAGCTTTTTTTACCAGAGAGTGACTTTGTACATAAGTCGTTTACTTGGGTCCCAATTGAGTTTCAAACTTGAAGCAGTTGCGTTTGCAAAGCTGTGTTTTGGTTTGAAGGGTGAGATATGGCAGTGAATTTACAGGGTACAGAGGAGTAACACCTGTGTCCTCAGGAATGGCAGCGTATTATGTATATCACGGACGAGACAGTACAATCTATTATATATTATATAGTCTATAGGCGACGGTTACCACTTTCCATCAAATGGGCCGTTAGCTTGTTTGCCATTTTAAGTTGTATAAAAAAAAGCTTACTTACATGGAATTGGTTCAGGGCAATCGAATATATAATCCACTGTCAGCGTTTTCTAACTCCCAATCTCCAGTTAGGACGAACTGGTCATAAATATAAGTGGAAATCATATCCAGAACTCTAACGGGATCCTTCACTCGAAATCGATTTGTCATAATGTTGTCTGTGAAAGATACAATGTAGTTTACTTCAATTTTATAACAATAATGTTATCATTATACCATCAAGTCAGCCGTTCTCTGTCCGCTGCTGATCATGGGCCTCCCCATAGACTGCTATAAGAGACGGTCCTGAGCCACCTTCATCCCTTTCTTTACAATGTATTTCGTATTTCAGATCGTCACGCGTTTGGACGGAGTCACTACTCCAGAATCTTTGTTAATAATTATATATTTTTAGATAAAAACTGGATTTTGATGCTCTATCTAGATTTAGGAATAGATGGAGTGTCAATTGTGATAAGGTTATGGACGCTCTTAATCGAAACTAGGAAATAGTAAAGTATTTAAGAGAAATGGGCAGCAGCGTCCCTGCTAAAACGTCACCAAAACCTAACTTTTCAACCCACCTGCCAAGCGTACTGCTCATGTTTTTTTTTTTTTATTATACCACTAAGGTGGCAAACAAGCATACCGCCCACCTGATGGTAAGCTGATGGTAAGAGGCATTACGCGCGCGTTGCCGACCCTGAAGAAACCTCTGTACCCCCCTTTTGAAGAACCCCATGCTGTAGTCTCTAGGCGACGGTTACCACTTTCCATCAGGTGGGCCGTCAGCTTGTTTGCCATTCTAAGTTGTATAGAAAAATGAAGGTATATATTTATTTATTTATTTTTGTTATAGGACTACAACGACGACATACGGCAAGAACAAATGCTTGAGATGCAGATTCTGTCATCGCAGAATGAACAGAGACGGCTCACGCCTCCGGATTCTTCTAGAAGTGGCAGTGAAGAAACACTACCTCTGCGGGATACCACACAGAAGCATAGGGTAAGATCTTAGATTGTATGGATAGAGCATCGAGCCTCAAAAACGGATCAACTTTTTGTCAGGTAATTATCAAATTAGCTGACTCGTTTTGTTATCAGTATTCATATATACTTACGTATAAAATATATCTTGTTAACGTATTACTTAATAAATAAAATGAGTGTTTTTATAAGGCAATATAAATATAGAAGATATAAAGAAATCGCTCATAACTATTTTATTTATCACGTAAAATTGTATTAAAGTTGACCCGCTTTTCTCGAAGTATTTGTATGGAGACACTCTGTCTATATAATCTAAAGGTAAAATCAATTATTTACTTATTCATATTACATAGCAAACCAAGTAATGTGCATGTTTTCCGCATAACTAAATCCAATTATAAAATTGTGTCTGAAAAATGTTACAGTCCCTTCGGTTTGAAGGGTGGGATATGGCAATGAATTTACAAAGTACAGAGGAATAACACCTGAGTCCTCAGGAATGGCAACGCATGGGTGGTATCACGGGCGAAACAGTATACTCTGTTATGTCCATGACACTGCTCATCTCTATAGGCGACGGTTACCACTTTCCATCAGGTGGGCTTGTCAGTTTGTTTGCCATTCTAAGTTGCATAAAAATGTACAATTTTAATGTTTAATAACTAAAATACCCACTATCTTTAAATGTTGACACTTACAATTAACTAATTAAATCTAATAATAATTATTAAGACTTATGTTATTATTGAATTTCTATTTTAAAAATGTAAGCCATTAAAAATTACTAATTGAGACAAAACTTACATGCCTTTAGATAAAGGGAAGCTACACTATTATCATTTAAGATTTTTTTTATACAACTTAGAATGGCAAACAAGCTGACGGCCCACCTGATGGTAATTTGGATAGATCATTTGTTTGAACCTTATTTCAAATAAATAAATTATTATTATTACTAACGACCCGCCCCGGCTTCGCACGGGTGCACATTACATCACATCACATTAGAAACCTCTAAAATTATCAGTGTTTCTCTACAATATTATGCATGTATTATACATATGAACCTTCCTCTTGAATCACTCTATCTATTAAAAAAAACTGCCTCACAATCCGTTGTGTAGTTTAAAAGATTTAGGTATACATAAGGACGGACAGACAGCGACAGCGACTTTATTTTATACTATGTAGTAATTATAAACCAAAGAGAGTTGTTTGTGTGGGCCACCACTAGAGGGCGCGATGCTGAAAGATCTATAACAGTTCTTTGTCTGCAAGCACGTCCCCGTGAAACTTTTCTCTTATTAACTCAACTTTAATGATAAAAAAAGTTAGACTGAAAAGTATTTCTAGTCTTGTACGTTAGAACTAATTTAAGTTAGGTTAGGTGTCCAACTAGTTCAGTAGTTTTCAGCACGTTTTATTTGTTCAGACAAAACGCGCACACTGACTCAACAAATCGGAACCTCGTACGTTGTTCAACAATTATTTCGAATTATTTTCGATCTCATTTCGTCATAGTCGTAGAATACTGACGGATCTGACAAATATTACATATAAAGATCCGTCAGTATTCTACGACTATGACGATTTGACATCTAATACCTTTTTTATGCAACTTAAAATGACAAACAAGCTGACAGCTCACCTGATGGAAAGTGGTAACCGTCGCCTATAGACATGAGCAGTACCATGGACATAACAGAGTGTACTGTTTCGCCCATGATACCCCCCATGCGTTGCCATTTCTGAGGAAGAGCAACCTTATCTTGACTCTATTAGAACATCACCAAAGCCTAACTGAGGTTGCCAACCGTGCCAAGCGTGGCAACTACTGGCAACAAAAGTGGGAGGCATATGTTCAACTGTTATATCATCATCACCTTGCCCTGACTAATTATAAATAACAATTTCTTCTTGCTACTTCATTAGGGGTTTATTTTTTATATTATATGTTATATATTCAGAGATAAGTATAGTCAGAAATAAGTCCACCCTTGCTTACAATACTTATAAATACATTAACAATGTAACTTACAAGTGCAATAAAGAATATATATATATACACATATATTATCCTTACTAATATTATAACGTATAAATGAGTTTGTTTGTTTGTTACCTTATAATGTCTTAACGGCTTTGGGGATAATTTTTAGAGGGACGAGGGATTTTGCTGGCCATCGTTCGACCACTTTGTTCCCTTAGTCGATTTATGTGATATACCAGGACCACAAGGCATAGAATGGTTCACATGGCGACAGGGATTTGTAGAGGTACTGCGCTGACCTCAAATAAAAGAGAACATCACAGCAATAATTATATACTGATTCACAAGGTCAAATCCACGGGATATAGCTGTAGCCTAAATAATAATTTGAAAAGTGTAGCTCGCGATCCAGCAAAATTGGTACCCATATCTTACTGCTATTAATATCTTTTACCCCAGCAGTTAACCGGTGTCCAGCCGTCGCCAGCCCAAGCCGCGCTGCCTGGCGGTATCCCCATAAACCATGGTGCCAACGCGCGAGACTTCTCTCCACCAGCGCCGACTCCAGCGCCTGATCATCTAACCGCGGCTCATCATCAGGTTTGTCCTAATATAGATTGTTATTTTAAAAATAATATCATCGTATGTAGGTTCTCCAGAATGCATTCAGTATGTAAACGGATGCTTTTAGACAGTATGTACTACATAATGTTCTGAATAACTATAAATCGCAGGTTCAAATCCGGCGCGAAGGACCATTAGGAATAGTGTCGCTCGTGTTTGAAACACAAAACCTGGAACAAACTATTTTTATTACACGTAGCTACAATTTTAATGGCCGACCTACGTGACTGTTGACGGAGAAAAGGCGGGAACAAGCCAGGCAGTGTTGCCACAATTGTGACAGTTTTTAGCAGGCCATATTCCACTTTTTGTTAAAGAAATCACTATGTGTGATTTAATTGAGTGTGAACAGTATTTAAATATTATGTACCATTCTTTTTACCATTTTTCAAACAAAATAAAATTATTTGTATTAAAAGAAATATTATTGTCATATGTCTCATAGTAATATATTTTTTTAATAATCCCTTTTATGGTAAAGCAGTCTTTTTTTATTTTCAGAGTTAATTTGTTACCCTAACGTCTAGTAATAATATTTTATTATACATAACCTTATTATAATTGACTTGAAAAGAGTAATTGTGGTATTCCTTGAAGATTCTTCTCTGTAACTGATAATTTCCGTCTATTTGTGTACAGTTGGCGGCAGGTCATACTGGCGCCCACCATGGTGTACTGGTCGGGGGAGGAGTATTACAGCAACCTCCCACACATCATATACTTACACAGAACTCCATACTGGGTATGTATTGACATTTGTTACAAACTAAGCACGTTTTATCTAACCATACAAACTAAGCACAAAATTTTATGACGTATGTATAAATGTCAAAAGTTTTTTCACCTTTTAGAATAACAAACATAATTTTAACTTTTAAACTTTTGCGTTGCATGGTTTATGTTAATTCCCGTCTATTATAAATCATAAACATAAAGCTTTAAGTATATAGTGATAATTATTTAGTTTAATATTCAATGTAATAGTATATTATAGTGACAGCAGATATACAAGTACAGTACAGTGACAGTAGACATACAGTTACATGTTACAGATATTTTGGCACAAAAATCAATACAGAAAAGGATCCATCAAGTACTTTTTTTTATCAAGAAAGTGTTACACATTTAAAAGTATTGTGTGTCAAATTGAAAATTAATAAAGAAATGAATTACAGAGTCTCATCAAAATTAGTTCAGAAAACATTATTTTGATTTATCACTGTATCATAACCTTTTAATATCACCTCGTAAACATTGTCCCAATAAATGATCGTATTTATGTGAAAACTTTCCAATAAGAAACGGAAACAACTGAAAGTAATAACGAAACTATCGAAGTAAGAAGTAGGAGAAAAGGTTGATAATGTTTTCATTATTTCCGTCTGTAGAAACTCGAAAACTGATACAAAACTAAGTATGAATAACTTATTTATTAATAGAATTAAGCACAATAAAAAAGCAGTGTTATTATTTATTAATAATAAAAAAAATATTACATTTATCTACTGTAATTTTTACATAATATTTAAAACTAAGCACAAATAAAATTTTACTAATTTATTAGATACTACTGCCAGAAACTAAGCACAACAATAAATCACATTTTATCATCTATGTATATTATACCTGTCTTCCGTTACAATAAAGGGGAGAAAGAGTTGATAATATCTTAATTATTTCCTTCAGTAAAAACTCTAACACTTATACAAAACTAAGTACGAATAACTTACTAAATTTGTTAATGAGTTTTACTTAAAATTAAGCACAATAAAAAATCAGTATCATATTTTATTAATGTTACAAGAAAATAAAAAAATACATTAATATACCATTATCATATTATATATATATCATTTCTACATAATATTTAAAACTAAGCATAATTAAAATCTTACTAATTTATCTGCCAGAAACTAAGCACTACAATTAATCATATTTTATTTATTCTTATATATCTACGTATATTATACCTATCTTCCATTACAGTAGGCTGAAGCGATCGAACGCAAAATACTACGACGCTGTTTTTATTTTAATATATGTTAATAGTAATTTAAACATTAATTGCATCTTCTGCTAGATATTCTGTGGTGTTTCTCCTTTCTGAGATATGAGGATTTTGAATTGCTTATCACGTAACATACATACTTATCTGGCACGCCTATCTCCAAATGGGGTAGACAGAAACAATGGAACGTCTAATAAATACATAATTAAATGAAGAAATATAATATAGATAGATAAATATTCTTTATTGTTTCCTCCGTAAGATTACAATAGTAAACTTATTATAAATACAAACAATTACAAGAAAATATTACATTAATAAAACAATGGGCAGCCTTATCGCTTAGAGCGATGTCTTCCAGCCGACCTTTGGATGGAGAAGAGTAATTAACAATTTGACGGCAGGCACGAAACTCTGGTCGTTTTTTTTAAAAACATATAGAGATATGCATGCGTACAATAATGTCAATATATAAATGTAAATTTTAAGTTACTAATATATACTAATATAAATGAAAACATAACATTTCATGAAACAAAGGGCACAAAAGAAAAATTATCTAACTAGATAATTCCTAAACTAAAACAAGAATTTTTGTAACGTTATACTCATTAAAATTTCCACCATACTACGAGTAGTGTTATAAATGATTAAGTTCTTAAAGATTTTTTTACATATTTGTTCTATAAAGTTAAAAGTGTTTTAAGAGATTTTGCACAGTAGGTATATAGTATATCTTCAGTTAACAGTTTGAATTGTTTTTATCTTATTTATTTAATCTTATGCACAAATTTAAAATAAGTATATGTAACGCATTTGACACCTTACGCCTATTTGTACCAACGAACAAAAGAATAAGCAGAGCTATAAATATCTTTTTATTCTAATTCAAGGCCTAAAAAAATCGTGGGCTTCATAAATGATAATATGAACTATATTTATATATAAGAAAATTCTTAGAAATTCTGCTATCGCATTAAATTAAGCACAATATTATACTACTAAACTAAGCACGACTAACACTAAGCTCACTAACCAGGTGGCGGGGATATATTGGGACTGAGTAGCCCCGTTCTTGGTGGTGTATTGCACGCACATCCCGCCCTGCGGGGAGTAAAGCCGGCCGCTGTCCACGCCCTAGCGACGCAAGGTCGGTACGTCATATTTTATTCAGACCCAAAATTAAGCATGGAAATAAATTTCTGACACGTTTTGTGCTTACTTTCTTTACAATTTTTAAATTTCTTTTTAGTTTCTGTCTATCTTAATCCCTGTACTTCTATTTCGTGCACTCATTCTTCATAATTATTGTAATAATTTAATTTTCTCTATTAATAAAATTATAATTTTGCATACTCGCATTTTAATTCAACTTTTCGGTCATAGATACAGATATAGGTTTAAATAGATACTACAAATGCATGTAAATTTTTACTGCAATCGTATGTTAATTATTATTATTATTATAGCCATTAACTGACCACTGCTGATCATAAGCCTTCCCCATAAGGGGAGTTTTGCCAGTAGTTGCCACGCTTGGCAATCGCAGTTAGGCTTTTAAAGATGTTTCAAGAGAGACGCCGCTGCCCATTCTTCACCTTACGTTAGTTGCCTCTTAGGCCAATCACGGGAAAGTAAGGGGTAGCTTATTCTATGCCGGGACCAATCGTGTTTCAATATTTACCCCTAAATTAAGATTAATGATGCCTGATATAATCTGGTTAATTTTCAGTTCGGAATTTCATTTTATGTCGAATAAAATAATACTAGCCACATTTAATGCCGTATAAATGTTTGAAAGAGTCGAGGATTATACATTTATAATACATTTTATAATATCAAAGCAAATAGTGGCACGCTTAGATTACATTGCCATAAAATTGGCCACCCCTTCCTTTCTCGTGGGTGTGGTAAGAGTAACTGTCCACTGCTGGACATAAGCTTTCTCATAAGAAAGTTTTGCCAGTGCTTGTCACGCTTAGCAAGCAGGTTGGCAAAGGCAGTTAGGCTTTTGGTGATGTTTTAAGAGGGACGCTGCTGCCCATCCCTCGACCATTAAGTTCTCTTAATCGTCTCTTACGACACCCACGAGAAAGAAAGGAGTTTACACATTTAAAATGTGTATAAAATCAAAGAGTTTGAAGAGTAGGTAACTATGATAAAAAAATTACAAGATAACGAATAACTGTATAAAATCTTGCTATCGAAATAGTTTTTTAACAGGCTTGTTTCAAATAACATTGAAAGTAATCTAAAACCATCATAACTGATATTAAGACCGAGTCTCGCATTTTTCGAAATCGGTTAAAAAATAACCAATCGAGAAATCTTCATTTTAAAATGTCCGAGTGGAAAGATCTATTGTGAAATAATTGAACCGTCCGCAGCCGCAACGCCTTAATTGAAAACCTTTCAGGGAATTGTGGTGGGGTTCAAACGACAGAAACACTGCCCGCAAAAACTTGTATAAAGAAATCTTTGCGTATGGTACAAGTGACAAGCGTCAGCGGAAACATTCGTTCTCCTAATTGGAGCTAGTTATACATAAGATAAAGTTGGGTTGTTCATTACGAAATAACAATTTTCCACAAAATCATTTAAAATTTCATTTTAAAATCTCTTTCCCCTTATTCATAAAATCTAAAACTTTCTGCATACCAACTTTAATTATTTTGGTGTTTTGCCACTGTTTTCAAATTGAGAATTTAGTGCAAAAGAATAGGACAAACTTACTTACATACCTCTGCCAGAAACATAGTACAACAATAAATTGCATCTATTTTTTTATATATTTACATTTATGTTATGTATTAACAGTTGTACTGTTTTCAATTAGGCCTATGTAGGTTGAAAACCCTATACAGCGCGTCAGGTCAATATTCACGCGATCCTGTGGAAACTATTGTAATTAGTTACGATGGGTGAATTACCCTGACTACATGCACATTTTCATCATCATCATCATCATATCAGCCGTTAACTGTCCACTGCTGAACATAGGCATACCTTAATTACTCTGTACATAATATTCTATAATATAGGGTCACCTGGCGTGCACAGTTAGGTAGGGTTGTCGCTTTTTCATTTCAGCACATTGAATATTTAACAGTCTAATTGCTTTCCTTATAAACATGGCGCAAACCCGCTCCAGTAGAAATTAGATTACTTACCGGCACTTACGTGAACTATATCACGTATTATGATGCAATAATGACGATGATAACAGCTGTTAATTGTCCACTGCTAAACATAAGCCTCCCCCGATTAAGTAGTTCTGCCAGTATTTGCCAGGTTTGGCATTCAGATTGGCAACCGCAGTTAGGTTTTGGTGATGTTTTAGGAGGAGCGCTGTTGCTCCATTCTTTGACCATTAGAACTAATCACCTTCGTCTCTCATTTATTTTTCTATTAGTATATAAAAAATCATTACCACATTCATGTCCCTTATCTCAATTATTATTTGGGATCGACGTAATATGTTTGTCTCTTCCATTCTTCAGTACATAAAAATCATAGTATAAAAATAAACATCGACATATCCGCTGTGAGCTTATGTCTTAATACATACGAACTCTTTGACGAAAGATGTGTCCAGACGCCATTTTATATTCCAACATTCCGTAAAAATGAAATGTCAGAAGTAGATTGTTTCCTTTGAACGAGGGTCCCGTGATGACAATGATTTTTCTTTTAAAAACTAACCGCAGTTTGTTTCAACAGAACTTAATTAATAGTTAATACCAGAAGGAGACTTTGTACAAAAGTCGATTGCTTGGGTACCTCTGTCCCATTAGTGTTTCAACCGTGAAGCAGTTGTGTTTGCATGGCTGTGTTTCGGTTTGAAGGGTGGGATATGGCGTGAATTTACTGGGTACAGTGGAATAACACCTGAATCCTCAGGAATGGCAACGCATGGGGGGTATCATGGGCGAAACAGTATACTCTGTTATGTCCATGGTACTGCTCATATCTATAGGCGTCGGTTACCACATTCCATCAGGTGAGCCGTCAGCTTGTTTGCCATTCTAAGTTGTATAAAAAAAATAGTTAAAATTACAACAGAAACACTCTCTACATTGACATTGATGCTCTTTTCCACTGAGGGTTTGCTGGAAGAGAACTCTTTTACAGTTAAGTTCACCTTTGTATATTTGCTTCAATTTATCATTTCAGCCGTTAACTGTCCACTGCTGGACATAAGCCTTCCCCATAAGAGGAGTTTTGCCAGTGGGTGTCACGCTTGAAAGAGGGTTGGCAACCGCAGTTAGGATTTTAGAGATGTTTTAAGAGAGACTGCTGCCAATCTCTACCATTAAGTTCCTTTAATCGCCTCTTACAACACCTACGGGAAAGGAAGGGTGACCCATTCTATGCCGGGACCACGCGGGAAATTATTTTTATAATGATATCAAAATGCATTTCAAAGTTCCACCAAATGCCAACAATTACTAATATTAACATACTAGGCTTTACCCGCGATTTTATATACTGATTCACGCGAACGAAGCCGCGGGATAGAGCTAGTAAATTATAAATAGATCCAAGACCCTTCAACAAAACGCATTATAGACTTACTATGCGCCAGGTGCGGGTGGGGCGGCGGCTGCGAGCACGGCCCGCAAGCGCCCACTGCTGGGCGGCGCGCGGGCCGCCATGTCGCCGACTAAGCGCGCTGTGATGACCCTACTGGCCAGAGCCAGGGCTGCCACCCACAAGCACGCGCCGGCATGGCCCGCGCCTCACGAGTAAGTTATTCCACGTTCCATGACAGATGATTATTATTATGCCTTGTGTCGCAAACCACAAACAAAACCCACTCTGATTAGATTTAGCCAGTAGGGTCACTGGCTAAATCTAAGGCTGCCGCCCACAAGCACGCCACCCGCATAGTTACTTCGAGTAATTCCACATACTGTAACAGATGATGATTCTGTCACGCGTGTGTAATGACCCTAGTGGCTAGGTCTAGGGCTGCAAACCAAAAACACGTAGCAGCAACTGTTAAAAATCACCACTATTCCATTGTTTTTAACTGATTTCCGAACTGAAGCATTCAATTCGACTTTTTTTGTATAATTTTTATTTATATAAAAATTCATCTCATTTTTTGAGAAAATCTTAACCTACATGCTAATTTAACAAGTGATAACCCTATTAAAATTAGGGTTATCACACACAGGCACGCAGCCACCTAATTTTACATCCATGAATGCTTAACTAAATTATCAACTTTATTACAATGCGGAGTGTGCTCCCAATTTCTACATTACTAGGGATGAATTAAGCTTTCAAATATCCAATAAAACATATTGATCAATATAAATTAATACGCTTCTAGTTTGAATAATAATTATTTATTATTATTTCAGCCGTTAACTGTCCACTGCTGGACATATGCCTTCCCCAGTTTAGTTTGTCAATAGTTGTCACGCTTGGCAGGTGGGTTGGCAACCGCAGTTAGTCTTTTAGAGATGTTTTATGAGGGACGCTGCTACCCATCCCTCGCCCTCTCTTAGCCGTCTCTTACGACACCCACTGGAAAGGAAGGGGTGGTCCATTCAAAAATATATATATATATATATATATATATATATATATATATATATATATATATATATATATATATATATATATATATATATATATACAGTGTAATTGCGTGGTCTTCAACCTAGAACTGTTTTATGAGAGACCAAATAATACACAGGCATAACCCAGAAATCACCGACTCGAGTCAATTTATCTATACGATTCAAAAACAGAAAATATAATAATTTTTTATAATCGATTACGTATTTTTGGTATTTATATGTGTATGTTTATGTATATATGTGTGTTTGTATACATTAGTATCTATATAATAGTGCGCCACCTACCCTTTGTCTTTTTCTCAATGTCCTCTACCCAAAGGTCGTCTGGAAGAAATGGTTTAGCGATAAGGCCGCCTTTTGTATCGATTCTCATTAATATTTACTGTATTTATTATTTTTTTACTTGATTCAATAAAATGTATGCAATAAATAAATAAATATCCATTATAAAACAAAAAATCAAGTACTTCCTCTTAATAATATTGGTTTGAAAAAGTTCGAGAATAATCGCCTGAGAATAAAACCTCTTTACCTCAAAGTAAACATCAGAGTGAAACTATACAAAAGTCGTCTATTGAGTATCTATTCTATACATTATTCTAATATATTTTTTTATACAACTTAGAATGGCAAACAAGCTGACGGCCCACCTGATGGAAAGTGGTAACCGTCGCCTGTAGACGTGAGCAGTACCATGTACATAACAGAGTATACTGTTTCACCCATGATACCCCCATGCGTTGCCATTCCTGAGGACTCAGGTGCTATAATTCTGTACCCTGTAAATTCACTGCCACATCCCACCCTTCAAACACAAACAAAGCCATGCAAACACAACTGCTTCACGGCAGAAACACGAATGGGACAAAGGTGTCCAAGCAAACGACTTTTGTAAAAAGTCTCCTTCTGGTATAATATCCATCTTCTTTGCATTCTTTGTAAAAATTAAATACAAAAAACAGCTATATTTTAAAGCAACATCAACACGGTTTCATTTGTCGTGGTTACGAGTAGACGGACTCCACAGATATAGAGGTAGATAGATGACGCAAGTATCTCAACATTTTTTTTAGAGCAAACAAGCTAAGTCCAGGCCTGTCATAAAGTATGTAATTTTATCTATTTATTTATTTATTCATAGGAACACTAACAGTATACTAATATGACAGAATACACTTGATCCCCTTCATCATCATCTTCATATCAGCCTTTAACTGTCCACTGCTGAGCATAAGCTATCCCTTGGAAGGTTTTTCCAGTAATTGCCATGCTTGGCAGGCGGATTGACAACCCCTGTCAGGCTTTAGAGATGTTTTAAGAGGGACTCAGCTGCCCATCCCTCGCCCTCCTTTAGTCGGCTCTTACGACATCCACGGGATAGAAAAGGATGGCATATTCTATGCCGGCATCACACGACCTGTCATTTGTTTCTGTTGTCGTCCCCTTAGTCTTCAATAATACGATGTTAGAAAAGGTCTTATGCCCTCACATTATAGAAATAACTTCACTGCCATATCTCACTTTTCAAATCAAAACATAACTATGTACAGCCTGGTGGAAGAATACTTAAATTGGAGTATCTATACAGACCCAAGTAACGTTTACAAATGGACAGATCAAAGGAAGACTTTGTAAAAAGGTCGTTTGCTTCTCTGTCTTAATCGTGTTTCTGCCATGAAGCAATTGTGTTTACACAATTATGTTTCGGTTTAAAAGGTGAGATATGACAGTGAAATTACAGCGTTCAAAAGCATAACACCTTAGACATGGACGAAACAGTATACTCTGTTATATCCATGACACTGTTCATGACGTCGTTTATCATTTTCCATCAAGTGGTTCGTCAGCTTCTTTGCCATTATAAGTTGTATAAAAAACCTGATTCAAACATATATTGCTCTCCAAAAAAAAAAAACCAGTTCAATTATGAACATACATTTATTTCAGTTGAATTGTTTATATATCATTGTTTATTGTTATGTTTTTGATGCAATAAAGTGATAAATAATAAAATAAACCTCCTTTTAGCTTAAAAATCGTTTTTTACACTTTCTACATCTATTCGTGTGTACATCTGTGATCGGTCTGTAGCCACGACTAATGGAAGCTTCTGAGCTGCGCAAATGAAGTCGTTAAGTTTTGCCTTACAATATTCTAGTGTAACAGCACAGATTAGTTAGATAGACGTTCATTACTTCAACCCACCGTACAGAGCAGTGTTTCCTAACCTGTGATCTGGGGGGCGGGGGGTTGTTAATAATGCGCACTATCAGTCTCATTGTTAGCAATATGCCCAAAAAGGTCAACCTCCACGTGGTCCCCCTTGGAAACCATCATGCTGAATTTCAAGTGAATTCATCACGATGGGCTAATTAACTTGCTTTTTCATTCTCACCTATCATCTCTCACTGGTGCCCCGCTAGTGTATACCGATAGCGCAAGCGGAGTTACCATTCCATTATCATTCATAAAAACCTGTGATCCGCGCACCCTCAGGGGTCCGCAATAATAGGAATGACCAACTTGACTAGACTCAAGATTTACTGAAATCTCAAACTTCTTGAAATCTCAAATGAAACAACGTGGTTCAGTACACAATTATGTAGTATTGTAGTATTTTTCATTTTATTTGAAAGGAAAACATACAACTGAAATTAATTCTTAGTAACTACTTATTTATATTAGTGTGAGCATTGCGTCTAATCATCTTTCGCTAGATAAGCAAAATATTATACTTTTTTGGCCTTGCCACGATCGACTGGACCAATAGTTGTGATCGACCGGTTGGCAACCCTTGTTTTTTTTATACAACTTAGAATGGTAAACTAGCTGACGGGCCACCTGGTGGAAAGTGGTAACCGTCGCCTATAGATATGAGCAGTACCATGGATATAACAGAATATACTGTTTCGCCCATGATACCCGCCATGCGTTGCCATTCCTAAGGACTCAGGTGTTATTCCTCTGTACCCTGTAAATTCACGCCATATCCCACCCATTAAAAGGCCGGCAGCACACCTGCAATGCCGCTGGTGTTGTGGGTGATCATGGGCGGCGGTAGTCACTTACCATCAGGTGAGCCGCATGCTCGTTTGCCCCCTGTGTTGTAAAAAAAAAAAAATTAAATCGAAACACAGCCATTCAAATACAACTGCTTCACGGTAGAAACACGAATGTTCTATAATAATCCTCATAAGTTCGTATATCCCATCAAATGTCCCAACATTTTTTGCCAAATAAGCATACAGCCGATCGAAGACGGTCACTAGCCTCCAAAAGCAAGGATGTCACTTATGCATTGACCCTAAAGGACCCTAAATGCACTCTTTCTGAAAAACCTTCTAGTGCAGTCTCTAGGGAAAACTTCGTCAGGAAGCTCATTCCAGAGCATAAAGGGTATCATGGTACTGTTCATGTCTGTAGGCGGCGGTTACCACTTTCCATCAGATGGGCCGTCAATTTGTTTGCCATTCTAAGTTGTATAAAACAAATCCTTCTCCAGTACCACATTTCAGAGGATTTAAGTCTATCTCTTTCTTTCTAGGTTTTTTTTTTGATGGGTGAAAATGGTATGGTAACCCCGCCTGCGCTAACGGGATACGCTGGCGGAGCACCAATGAAGGGTGATAGGTGAGAATAAAAACAGGCCAGTTAGGCCATCATGATGAATTTATCAGGAATTAACCATGATAGTTTCCAGGGAGAACCGCGAGGAGGTCGACGTGGTTGGGAATAGGATTCTCAGTCTCCATTACTAACAATCCCTTTCCCCCCTTTCTTTCTAGGTTAACTACTACTAACTAGGTTAAAGTATCGTCTCGTATCTTTTATCCTAATTCGTACAGACAAATTCGCGATATACAGTTAATAATAACGATACATTTTGTTTCAGGCACACGGCGTTGCTCCCGCTGATCAGAGATGAATTCGTAACAGGGGTGGGTGTTAATATCAACCTAGCATAATCTATATTGTACGCGCTCTAGTCGAATTGTAATATACAGGGTGTCCATACTCCAATGGTATTCTATAAAATAGATAAATATCCTCACAACTATATTCCCTAATGGGGTAGTCAGATGACATCGATTGTTATCGTTATGATGAAAATAGTGCTAACACTCGACATACCAACTCCTATTTTAGAAAAATTCCAAAGAAATTTAAATACAACACGCAGCGCCATCTAGTCGCAAACTGAGCAGAGTATATTGTATTTCGCTATGTGCTACCATGGGTACTAGACAGACAATTACTACTACTTGTGTGAGGGTAGCAACCACAGAAAACAAGAGTTTCCAGGCCGCATCCTTTATATATGAGAAACTCTGACTCTTTGTGAGCTTTACTTGTCTTCAAAGCATGAAGCAAGTAACAATCTTTTTCTAATAACATACATTTGTATATCTTAGTCGCCTCTTACGACACCCACGGGAAATAAAGGGATGGCCCATTCTACGCCGGATCCACACGGCGATTTTATAGTTTATTAATAAATAATTCGATGGCTTCGTTAAATTACTGTTTTATGGACCATTATAAACTAAATGATGATACGGCCGTTAGACATCCACTGCTGAACATATTCGTCATCCATTCTTGGACTTTTGTCAATAGTTGCCACGCTTGGTAGACAAATTGGCAACTGGCTAGCCAGGTAGTTAGCTTTGGTGATGTTTTAATAGAGACGCTGCTGTCCATCCTTTGACCGTTAAGTTCCCTTTATCGCCTCTTACGACATTCATGGAAAGGAAGGGATGGCCCATTCTATGCCGGGACCACACGGCAATTTGCTATGAAACCATCATTTCTGTAATTACGTAACATGTAAATGTATCTTCTATCTTCACGCCAAATCACTTGCGGGATATGCAGAGAAAACCTAGTGCTACCCTTACATATGTTTAGCCACATCCTTTTTTATAATTAATTCCTTTATCTCAACTTAATAAAAATAATAATTGTAATAAATATGAAACATAGTATTAACTAGTAATGGACACCCTGTATAACATAATAACTAATCTAGTCGAATGAACATTAAGCTGAAATTATATAAGATCAATTAATATTAATTTATATTTTGTACCTGTTTTAGTATTATCAAATTATTATTTGTATTGCAAAGTTTTTAGTATTCATGAGATATATATACAGGATGTATCGAAATTTGCATCCTTTTAAAGGAATATTTATTTATTTATTTATTTATTTACACTTTATTGCACCAAGTAAAAAGAGAAATAACAAATACAGTAAATATTAATGAGAAGTGATTCTACCTGTATAATGTATTTTTTTTTAAATAAACTTAAATATAAATAATGTGGCTAAGAAAATAGTATTTTTAAGTTACATTTACTCGTGTGTTTTAAATAAATAAAAAAAAAAAGTTATTTTGATTTATTTAGTTCGAGAGTTATTTTTAATTTTTTTTTCTTTACGAATAATAATCAATAGCATTGGTAAGAACATCTCCTCAAAAGGCGCTCGAGATTTCGATTCTGTCCTGTATAACTTCACTATATCCTGATTGTTAGTTCATGCGTCATACTAGTGGACGGGTGCTTCTTTTCGATCAGTTCAGAGTTAGAATTTTTTTACAACACACGGGGCAAACGAGCATGCGGCTCACCTGGTGGTAAGTGACTACCGCCGCCCATGATCACCCACAACACCAACGGCATTGCAGGTGTGCTGCTGGCCTTTTAACAAGGAATATGCTCTTTTCTTGAAGGTTATGTTGTCGTATCGGTTTGGAAATACTGCTGCGTTTGTCTCTTATCGTACTACGATACATGTATTCCTCTATTGAGATTCTCAATTAAGGACTTTAATATTTTTTGGATGTATGTTCGTATGTCAGTCAAATGGCGCATTGATAGATTGGATGAAATAAATGGAATGTCGGGATCTAAAATAATTTTTTATTTTTAAAATTTAGTATGTAAACGACATCATACATTGGACAGGTCAAGTTATATCACATAATTTGCTTGACCGATTCTGATAAAACACATTGTTTTTAAGTTGGGCTGATGTTTAATAGTATAATTGATAAAATGTTTAAGAAAACTTTATTTTCGAAAATTAAAAGTTTCTTTAAACTTATTAATGTGAATTAAAAAAAAATCAAAAGCTTTTAGTGTTTTCAATGCCACATTTCAATACTACTCGTAGTTGTTAAAAATTAAAATTTAATTTAAAAAAAATATATATATTTCATTTTAGAATCTACTTTATACTGTGTATTGTAACTGGAAAGTACCCTTACTTACCTTATAAACGTGACAATGAGTTTGTTTGTCACTTTACAGCGCCTTAACGGCTCAACCAATCAATATGAAATTTAATATACACGTACTATATGGGATGGAGAAAGATATAGGCTACTGTTTATACCGATCAGTGAATATATATCGGTCACGCGGACAAAGTCAATAATAATAAATATATATATAATTATTATTATTAATATATATAAATACAAGCAGCCCGTCCCGGCGTCGCACGGGTGGACATTTTTAACATTTCCCTTCACTGCTCTGCTCCTATTGATCGTAGCGTGATGAAAAGTATACTATAACCTGCCCAGGAGTATGAAGAATAGTTGTACCAAGTTTCGTTAAAATCCGTTTAGTAGTTTTTGTTTCTATAACGAACATACAGCACAGACAGACAAAAATTTTACTGATTGCATTTTTGGCATCAGTATCGATCACTAATCACCGCCTGATAGTTATTTTGGAAATATATTTCATGTACAGAATTGACTTCTCTACAGATTTATTATAAGTATAGATTAAATTATATATATATATATATATATATATATATATATATATATATATATATATATATATATAAAACACAGATAGACGTTACTGGAACTGGTTGATGTAGTGAGGATCACTCACTAGGGAGTAGTTCAATAAATGATGGATTTCTTTTGCTAGTTTCCAGACGTGTAGGTAATTGATTCCATCATATGGGAATACGCTACCATTCAATAACAGGAAGGAAGGAATTGTTAATTCGTCGATATATACTTTTGATCTTCCAAAAGGAGGAGTTTCTCAATTGATCTATTCTTTCTTCGTATGATTACGTCACCAATTCTGAACATTTTTTTTTTGTTAATTTTACAATCTATAGGGTTTTTATGTGTGCACGCTCACGCGTTTGTGTGTGTGTGTGTGTGTGTGTGTGTGTGTGTGTGTGTGTGTGTGTGTTGGTTGTTTTTATATGAATGTATATATTTATGTGTACATATGGAGATTTTGTGCGCGCGCGTTTGTGTGTGTGTGTTTGTGTTTTTGTGTGTTGTGTTTTTTTAATGGATGATAATGGTATGGTAACCCCACCCGCGCTATCGGGATACGCTGACGGGACACCAGTGAAGGATAATAGGTGAGGGTAAAAGCAGGTCAGGTCAGTTGGCCCATCGTGACGAATTCAACGAGAATTGTTCACGATGGTTTCCATGGGGAACCACGTGGAGGTCGACCTAATAAGGCATATTGCTAACAATGGGACTGTCAAACTCCATTGCTAACAATCCCTTTCTCCCCGTGTGTGCTGTGTTGCTCGATTACATCGCCATCTTTCCAACCCGATTTGGACTATTCTTTTTACAATCTATAGGGTTTATTTCCATGTCGATACCATATTAATTTTGTGACGATTAAAACTGCTTTTTTCTTTGTCAGACAAAAAGTTTTGAATAACTGTATAAGGGAAGTTTTACTTCTCTTACGAAAAAGGCCTATTTCACCTGTTCACCAGTGGACAGTTAACGGCTGAAATGATGATGACGAATTGTCAATATTTATTTAGTCACAATGGAATTTCCTTGTTTATTTTACGAAGCTACACATTTGTCGTTTGAATATTTGTCGCAATAATAATACATTTACATATTCAATATGCTCGGGGAATTGGTATATCCAATTGCAATGCAATACAACGGTGACAATCGATGCTTCTGTCTGTCCCACAAGTATTTATTTATTTTATATATATATATATATATATATATATATATATATATATATATATATATATATATATATATATATATATATATATATATATATATATATTTTTTTTTATTGCACTTGTAAGTTACATATAAAATAATCTATTTATAAATGTTGTGAGCAAGAGTGAACTTTTCTCTGACAGAGATCTCTTCCAGTCAACAGTACCAAGTAAAGAAAGCATTTCGTTAGCGGGCAGCTGAAGGTGCTACAACTATTAATACATAAACAAATATACAGTTAAATAATATTATAATATACAGTTAAAGAAAATATTAAAATATATAATAAAATATTACATAAATACATACACAATTTTCAAACACAATTTTAAATTATTTTAGAAAGATAAATAATAAAAAAAAAGGATTTACTAATTAAATAGATATTAGCCCAACTTAAAATGTAATTGTCTCTTTTTAAGTTACATCTACGAGTATTACTTACAACCAATAAAACTTTATTTTTCTTTTATCAACAAAAAACTAGAGATATCTAAAAATAAATATTTAAAAACGTTACTTAAAATGTCAATTGATTCATAGCCCCATAGTGTTATTGATAAATTATGTTTAAAAATGTAAGTTTAAAGGACCATGGTGTATTTAATATTACTCTATGCCTTTTAGTGAAGTTTGTATATAAGTTTGTTTGTAAACCTTAGATTACATAAATGGAGCATCGAGTATCCAAAACAGGATAACATGTAGTCAGTAAACTGTCAAGTTTGCTGACTCGATTTTTTTAAACAGTATTATTATATATGATAAAATTCGCGTAATTTTTCAGTGTTGCAAGTATTCGAAAAAAATTCGAAATATTCCTAATGAGATAATTTTTATTCAGTATGATTATTTATATTATTTTAATATAATAATAAAAGATTATATACTAAATTAGATATATAAATAAACTTAAATATTATATAGGATTAAATAAATAATAATAATGATATTTTATACAACCTTTACCCACTTTTCTTAATTTAAAGTAATAATTTACAGTCGGTATCCTAATTCGCGCACACGTGGATAAAAAAGCATGCCTGTTTCTGGTGAAATATTTGTATAGAGATACTCCATCTATGTAATCTAAGAAAAATACTTATCAAATATAAAAAAAAATAGTTTTAAGCCAAAAAATTATACAGACGAAATATTTAAAAATTATTGCATCAAATATATTAACATATTGAAATTGTATATGAAATTAATTATAAATTCTATAATTTATATATAATATATTGTATGGTAAGATATTTTCATTAGAAAATATATTACTCATTATATAAAATATATAATTATACTTATACACAACTAATATAATATAATATTTTTAAGCGAAAAACCTAAGCGATATTAATACAGCTTTTATCACAATTGTAACATTTTACAGAGAATGTCTTACCATATTTTATATAACAATATAAATTTACCACATTATTGCGTTATAAATTATATTAATCACATTTAGATGAAATAATTACACCGTGCACGTTTGTAAACTAATTCTTTGCTATTACAGTTTACAAAAAAAAAACTAAAATAGCATAAATCAATTATACATGTAATAAACCTGTGACGTACTTTAAACTGGAAACCTAAGTAAAAAAAAACCAATATTTTTTATTAAAGAAGCTGTCGATTTTTTTTAGGATCACAATATTTTTTAAGACAAACCAGTAAAAGTACGGAAAAGGTATTTATCCCAAAATCATTATAATAAATAATAAGTAGAAAATAAATAATGTTTTAAATCATAGATCTAAATGTAGTAAAAGTTCAATGTAGTTCAATTAAATAAGCTATAATTAACAATAGATAATATTATAAAATAATTCATTAAAGGCAACGTCCAAACAGTTCAAAATTAAATCGAATAAAATACGTCACAATATTTGAAAATGGAGTCTTGATAATACGAAAATACGATTAATGTTGGAGAACATTTTCAAACATTATGACATTTTTAATAATAAAATTTTTAAATGGGTGTCAAAACTGTTAAATATAGATGTATAACAATAATAGATTATAATAAAAAATAAATGTAAATAAGTATATATGTATTAATCGCTTCATGAACCTCGTCTGTGTTTTGTGATATCCGCGTAGTTAGATCGAAAATTTACAATATACAATAATTGCGTA